ACGTTTGTAGTTTCCATTTTCTTTTCCACTATCCCAATACAACCTAAACCCTAAACCCTAAAGTCCCTATAGTCCCTATATTGTTATAAGGATGCCCTCAGCAACCATCTAAAGACTCTTACACCTCGGCATAGTCCGCCACGCAGCTGGGGTGGTGAAGAATCATCTCCTCATCTCTTGGGAGGGTTCCTAAAATTAGGGGTTTAGGGTTGAGGGTTTAGGGTTTAGGGTTAGGGTTTGGGTTGAGGCTTAAGGGTTTAGGGTTTAGGGTTTAGGGTACCCATCGGGGTAGTATTAAGGGTATATCGGGATTATTTAGGGATAGTGCAAAAGAAAGTGGAAACTACTACTTAGGGTTTAGGGTTTAAGGGGTTTCCCAAAATTTGGGGTACCTTAAAAGGGGGATATAGGGGTTACATAGGGAATATACGGTTTAGGATTTCGGGCTTCCCAAAATTAGGGGTACCTTATTAGGGGTTCCCATAATAAGGATCATAATATATTGGTCCATGTTGGGGTCCCCTTATTTCGGCATCACAGGCTACCCACTGCATAGAAAAGTTCCCCTCCCGAATCTTTAGCCGTTCATATACAACCCCTATATAACCCAATTGTAACAAAGTAGTTTCCATTTTCCATTATTCCCATATAACCCCAATATACTATAGTAGTTTCCATTTTCTTTTCCGCTATCCCAATGCAACTAAACCCTAAATCCTATAGTGCCTATAGTATTACAAGGATGACTCCCCAATATATACTATAGTTGTTTCCATTTTCTTTTCCATTATTCCAATATGACCCAAACGCTAAACCCTATAGTACCTATGGTAGTTTCAGGAGCTCTGGCTGCATGCAGGTCGCCTGGATGCACAGGATAGATGCTTCCTGCACCTGTCCAGAAACATGGCACGGCTCTTTGCCAGAAATGAGCCCTGGACTAAATTTGTAATATATCACTTAGAAGGTCCCCCCAAAATCCTATATAGTCCCCTATAGGTCCCCCTCAACCTAAATATAGTCCATAGCTCAAATGAGAACACGTCAATGAAGTTCCTGATTTGCCTCCAAGACTTGCCGGGATCTATGCCTTTAACCACCTGCCGAGTCTGTGATTCCGATGCTAGAGAGAGAAACAGTAATATCATTAATAGTATTCATATTATTCAAATTCTTATTATTTTTAGTATTATTTGAATTAAGGGAAGAAAGCCCTTTCCTCAAGATGCTGACCTCCTCAGCTCCACACTCACGTCTGAATCATCAAAGCTCCCAAGCACAACCCTTCGACCCTGCAACACTAGACATTCCCCCCCAAAAAAGTCCTCCCGCCCCTGCCTCATGTACCGCACCACTGGCGGTGAGGGCATTGAGCGCGAGAATCAAGACCCTGCCGCCTCCATCCAGCTGGGGAGGCAAAGTGGGACGTATGGTAGCTTCCCAAAACAAGGATACCCCAATATAGACCCAAAAAATACCATAATCCTCTTTCTAGGACCCAGAAAGGTACGCCGAACTTCGGGAAACCCCAGGAAAAGCGGGGGGGTTCACAAGAAGGCGTACCTGGGGAACCTAGGGAGAATAGGGATTATATGGATAATTGTTGGGGATTGTCGGGGAGATGTTGGCAAACAAGCGCACTGGGAGACCAGAAGGATCTAAGGGAGTCCTTAGTTTCGGGTGCCGTCAGGTATGGAGTGTAGGGTTTCGGGTTTGGGCTTCTAGGGTTTTGGGACTAGAGTGTAGGGTTTAGGAAGTATTTCCAAAGTACTTCATAACACTCAGGATGAGACCAATAACTACGCTGGTCACTTTAGCCTCAAAAGCACAAACCTACTGTAACGAACAGAAAGGCACATGAAACAAATGATAGCATCGAACTGCGCTATACATGCTTGCGTAAAGTTGCCAGGGAGAATATTGTTTGCTTGCAGAACCTGTAGACGCAATGTTGGATGAACGTCCTAGATAAAAAAAAAGACTCTGGCACACTGCACAGAGCATTGGCAGCGAAATAGCATCAAAGAGTCGTAGAGCTGGAGGGAGTGTGTGAGGGGAGTGGATCAACCACACTGTGGAAGCAAATCTTGGATCTTGGTCAGTAAAGTTGCCTGGTTCAGGGTTTACAAAGCAGCAATGACGGGCGGTTTGCAGCAAACAGTTTCGCCAGAAGCGATGAGACGAGAACCGACAGAAGAGCCCCGACCCGGCCGTACATGCACTCCCCGGTCAATGTAGACATCTTTTAGTTTCCCAAAATGAGGGGACCCCAATATAGACCCCAATATACAATAATCCTTAACATGGGGACCCCCAAAAAGGGTACCTCTAATTTTAGGAAACTCCCAAATAAAAGAAGGCAGACAGAGTCCCCACAAAGCCATGTATGCATTTGTTCCGGAAGCTGCGAATGAAGCAAAGTCGAGTACCACAGTGTCTGAACGTCTGGAGGTTGAATGAACCCACTTGTATCTTAGGTGGACCCCCCACCCAGCTTGTATCACCTATCCACCGGTTTCTTCTTGAGGTATAATACATCAAAACTAATTGTGAATTTGTACTCCTCATTGTGCTATACTGTGACAACAAGTAGGTATATCCAACAAGGACTTTTTCTGGGGGGTCAAATGGGGCTCCAGTCAGCAAGGCTACAGTAAGCTGCACACAACTTGCGCTCATTTAAAAATATGGCTTGCTTTGAGACTGAGACTGGCAAGTTCTGTTATATCAAAGCCCGACAAAGAATAACATGAAATTCTGACTTCTCATGATGTCTGATACTGCCCAACCAAGGAATGCTATGCCTTTATTTTCCATTCTTTCCATTTGATTCTCCATGACTTGTACTCAAAACATCTCAAAACCCTATAGACCCCGATTCTACCCCCGTGAACCCTAAACCCTAAGCCCTAAATCCCAAATCCCAAACCCTAGACCCTAAAACCTTAAACCCTAAACCCTTTAAAGGGATGGGTTGAAACCTGTAGCTATGAGCATCAAGGTGCCTTGACTTCTCCACGTCTCATCATCTTCATCCTTTGTCAGGAATTTTCCAAAAGCAAGAATACCATCACTATTATTGGGTTTAGGGTTTAGGGTTTGGGGTTTTAAGTTAGTAGTATTCCTATACCATTATTCTTGAACGATTGTTATTACTATGACTATTACGGTTGTTATTACTTGTGACTATCAATATTCTTTTAAGATTACTACTACTATTACTGTTGTATTACTACTACTATTATTATTGCTATAATAAAAGCAGCCCAGCAGGTCGAAGACATGCGGCAGTTTCCATAAAAGAGGATGGCCTCTATATGGATGCCTACATACTACAAGCCACCGTCAAATGTGACCCCCGAAAACAAATCTTTGGAAAGTCCCCATGTACTGTAAGTAAGTGTCAGGGTAGAGATCTGCCTGTCTATCCAGTATGTCCCTAGGGTGATACTATTTCTGGCGATACCTATGTGCAAGTTTCTCTCTTGAAAAAATCACACGAGCTAAAACACGACTGACTACTGCCGTCAGCCCATAGCAATGTACTCTACGTTTAGCCCTTTTTGCAAGTCAAACTCTGAGTGCATCCAGGCTTGTTCGTCCTAGGAAACAAGCCCAGACCAGATATGTAAATGAGAACAATCCCGAGATTCTTCTGCTGATTTCCATGGTAACAGAGATGACGATGACCGCCAGAATTTCGGAGGGATGAACTGGCACCAGCTCTCATAGGAAGAACACTACTGCAAATGTCTTGCACTTCAAAGGCGCACCTTGGCAGCAGCAGCCAGGGCACGCAAGGTGGAGGCCTCGCGGCTCCAGTCATCAGTCATAAGATCTCCCCAAACCTCGCATGCCAGACCCGCCCAACAACGGACAGGGGCCGAAACGTTAGAACTCCGAAGCCTAACTCCTGAAATCCTTGAGGAAACTGAGATCTCGTCAAGCCCAACCTTCAAGCAAAAAAACTTCAAAAACCTCGGGCCTGAGATGCTGAAGCTAGCTCAGCCCTTGGCCTTAAGCCAGGAGCCCACGGATGAGCCGGCTCATGCTTCACAGTTATCCAACCTTCAACCCAGCAACGCAGACCGCAACTCCAACTCCCAGCAGCTGGCACCTCAGCCAGGGGCCGCGATGCCAAAAGGGCTGTGAGCGAAGGAGGCACCTGGTGGGTTGGCAGCTGGTTTCTTTCCCTATGCTACGACCAAGCTCACTAGTACTTGCGTCAGAACACCGACTGCTACCAGCGCTTCCGATTGATAAAACTTTGATTGCTCTTAATCTTGTTGCGTTTCTGTTTTGTTCTGTTTGTTCCCACCGCAGCTGCTGATCCCTCATCTGCTAACTTTTGCATGTCAGCTACCCTTGTTCTTTCTAGTTTGCAACAACTATCACTTTTGCCAACTCTGTTAGTAGTACTCAGCAGGCTCAGAGAAGGCTTTCAGCACCGACATCCGGGTAGTACTTGTTGCCAAGCATGCGAGCACGCCGACTTTGCTCGGAGCTTGTTATGTTGAGGGTTTCCAACACATCACTCCACCCGCAAGCCGTCGTGTGTCTCAGCAGAATTCGGTGAATCTCGCAGACATCGAAAACGAGATCCAAAGAATCACGCAAAGGTTGCCGCTCCCTCCGAAAGAGCGTCTCCGTGCACATAAGCAGGCATCTTGGCGGCAACCCCAGGCTGCCCCGCTCAGTGTGACCGTGCAAAGTTTTTATTTTGACCCCTCTCAAGTTTTCTGCATTTGCACCTTGCACGCTGCGCATGTCATTGGAGCCACCAACAACAAGTGCTACACGACCTGGCCAATCCTGCAAATAGTGGTCACGAATGTGCCATTCGGTTCGGTGCTCTACCTGCCTGGGTTCATTGTCTCCGTCCATCTGGGACCCTTCCAGCAAGAAGTCCCGTTGTCTCGGGTTTAAGGATGAGCCTGCGCGCATGCCGGACATTGCTAGCAATCGAGACGCTAGCTAAGAGCTGGATACATCGCACAAAGCTGCAGGGAAGATTGCACAGGTTTGACTCATGTGTGAGACCTACCCTCTGAAATCGACTAGACTATGCTGGAGACTCTGCAAACACTGAACCAAATGATATACAGAAGGGGCATGGGCTCGAAAACTTTGGCGAAATAAGGCAACATGTTTCCATGTTATTACTTCATAGCCTTGTGCACCATGACTGCATCCCATCCTTATCCATGCACGGGACGCTCGGCTTTTTGAGGCCCCTCTGCCCTCTTACTGCCAACGTATCCCACCTCCTTCTCTGATGGCTTCGTCTGCGGCCGACCTGCACAAATGCTCCAGGCGGGGATAGCAACCGAGAATGAATTTGTCGGCTGTGCTACTGCTACAAGCAACAGTAAGCCAGGCAGTCACATGGCTATACAAGTAGGCACCTCGACCTCGACAGTCGCAGCAGGACTGCTGGTTCGCGTGACAATCATGTTGAAGACAATGTCTATCACGCACAATGATAGCAGGGGTAGCGCTCTACATCAAGATCCCGGTTTCGGGCGTGCTTGAATTCAAGACCCTTGGCTTGGGCGTTTGGCACTGTGGTCTTGGGGACCTTGAATGATTCAGGTCAAAAAAAAAGCTTCTACAACGACATCGCTCGCAGCTTCAACTGCTTGAACCTCGTCTTCGTCTTCAACCTGTGGGCTCCATCAAACTCCTATTCCATCCTTTAACCATGACTGGATAAACGTAGTATATGCAACAAGTTTCTGCTCCCTGAAACCAAACATGTCTGCACCATTGCCAAAAGCTAGCCTTTCGTTAGCTAGGAATGAAGGAATGGATCCTTGAAGTAGTCCCCCATTATGGTAGGTTCCATTCTCTTTGTCATTTCTTCATCCCAGCTAACCAACGGCCAGTAAACCCTAAACCCTGTATAACCCCTGTAAAATCCCTATATAATCCCTATATGAGTTCCAAGGCCTCGTGCCAGGGGCCGCCGCAGAGGCAGCAAGAGGCTGGGCTCAGGAGGCGGCCTTGGAAATATCAGAGACAACTCTTTTCACAAGAACCATGTCCACATGAGGTATAATCCAAACTCCTTGAAGGGGGATTTATACAGGGAACTATATTGGGGAGTATTTTAGGGCTTAGTAAGGGGGATACTAGGAGTTCATATTTGGCTCATATAACCCTACTAAGCCCAACCCATATAGCACCTACATGGGCGTTGCCCAATATCGCGGAAATCCAAAGTTCCTTTCGCGCATCTTTCACGCACCCCATCGTGAGCTTTCGCGGAAGCATGTTTGAGTAAGCAAAAGAACTATAGCTTACGATACTTCTTTCGCAAAATCCTAAGTCCTAAGTTCCTTACGCAAGCACCATCGCCACATTTCGCTGAAGGTCTTTTGAGCCAGCCGTGGTCGTTTGCAATAAAAACTTTCACATGGGGTTTTCGGGCGATGCCCACATAAGCTCCACTCCATTTGTTCCTCCGTTATTGGGGTAGTGTTCCAGGTCATGGATATACAAATACAAAACAAGGGCGAAATTCTGAGGCATTCAGGTTGGGACTCAGGGTTCAGGGGTAGACTCGGAGAATTCTGTGTTCCAAGGTCTCTGGACGAGTTGGTTCAGGCTAGGTCTACAACATACTAATAAGCGCGCACATGAACTCATCAATGCATGTCAGACTTGCTGATCCTTGCTGGCACCTTCGGGCTGCACAGAGTAAGAGGCACTCAACACAGGTAGCACGGATCCCGTCTCTGTGCCAACCAAAGTGCGGGTCCTCGCTCGGGAACCACCTCTGCAAGAGATTAAACAGTCATTGATCAAGAAAATGAAGATTTTGCGTAAAACTTAACTTCTAAAGGAGCTAGCTAGTTACCAGGGCAACTTGCCCGGATTACGCATGCTTCAGCCGACTGCAACGGAAGTCCAGAAAGCGAGCGCGGGTCAGAGACATTATGAGAAGAATAGGCGTGGAAGATCTATGCCTACGTAGACTGAATGGTTGTGAAAAACCTTGCTCAAGGAAGCCTATCTACCACATGCTCCGCAAAGTCCAGAACTCGAAATGTTCGCGTGTGTCAGACTAGCTACCGGCTCCTTGCAGACTTGATTCTGGCATCTACGAGCCAAAGCGCGAATACCAGGGGCACACACTAGCACATGACGATCCTTCTTGCTAGCGCTGCACCGAGAGCCTAACGCTGGCGCATGGCGAGAACTAACTTTCCACTTTGAAACCTCCAGGGACTCAACGAAACCCAAAAAATGACATCTGGAATGTGGTGGTTCAGGCATACGGAGATTGAAAGGCTCCCTAGGGTGGCAAACATGATCTTCCAGGCAGTTAAAAGATCCAGAATCTACAGAAAATTCCAGGAACCCTCACCCGCCGCTCTGCCTGCAAAGGACTCTCTGAGCTGCGGAGCCAGAAGGGCAGGCTGCACCTGGATGGGGCGACATGTCAAGATCTCACAAAAGTTTGCCATCAATGGTCCGTCCTGGCTTTCTCGAAGATTATTCAGACTTTGGCCGGCCACGACATCTCGAAGCTTCACAAGGACATCGGGATCGTGAAGGTTTTATAGTGCTGCAGTGAAGTTTCTAAAGATGTTCACATTGTCTGAAGTTCTGTAGCGCTGTTGGGGAACGCCTTGATAAATTGTGGCTTACTTCTTGGGGTAAAAATGATTCAACACGCAAAAAACAAGGCTTCACCAACCGCTACCCCAATAAATCAGCAATATTATCCCTATATAGCCCAATATTACCCCAATACTACCACACACAAAAAAAGGTTGCACCAGCTGCAACACGAGCTGGGGGGAGGGCAAATTCTTCCCTACCTGCAAGCGCACAAGGACTTCAAGGAGAGCTAACGCTGACGACTCGTTGCAGAGATCTTATATTGGGGCAATATTGGGATAATATTAGGGTAATATTGGGGTTATATTAGGCTATATTGGCGTGGTGTTGGGATAATATTGGGGTAACAATAGGGTTATATTGGACTTATATTGGGCTATATTGGGATTATATTGGGGTTATGTTGGGGTTATGTTGGGGTAGCCCTTTCAAGGATAAACCAGAAAAATCACACCATGACAGAGCGGTGTGCTCCCAACCTCGGCTCATGAGGCTTACAATGCACGAGATCGATTGCTCGAAGTGTCCAAATCAGATCCAAGAAGAAGCCCTCCTCAGCCCCAATACCCGACATTATATGGGGGTTTCCCAAAATTAGGGGTACCTACTATAATGGAGAATCAAATGGAAAAGAAAATGGAACATGAAATGGAAACTGGGATTTTTACATAGGGGATTATCTAGGGCTTGGGGTTTCCCAAAATTAGGGGTACCTTAGATCATGGGTATATAGGGGGCATATAGGGGTTATAGGGATACTGGAAAAGAAAATGGAAGCTACTATTTGGAGTTTAGGGTTTAAGGTTTCCCAAACTTAGGGGTACCTTTTTGGGGATCCCTATACTAAGGACTAGAGTATATGGAGCCTATATTGGGGTTCCCTAATTTTGGGAAAGTACCATACGCTTTTATACCCTATCAACATATTAAATAGTTTCCATGTTCTTTTCCATTATCCCTACAATTCCCTACATACCCTGAATAACATACCCCATCCGAAACCCGCTGCCGACTAGGGCACACCGTGCAAGAGCAGCGATCAACGGCGCCGCCACGCACTTGTCGGAGATGGCTTCACGAACCAGCCTTGCTATAATACTAATAATAGTATTAATAATAGAAATACTAATAATAGTAATAGTAATAGTAATGGTAATAGGATTGGCTGCACGAGGAAATGGAGAGCCGGCCCCGGAAATCAATGCATAAGTTACCCCTTTTAAGGAAACTGTACTAGTGACAATACTTTTATCCCATAATCGTAGCCTGACTTCAGTTTCTTAAAGCGACTGAGATGATGGAATGCTCCGAGCCACCCTGATCCTGTCAGTAGTCGGTCGAGCAGTTCGACCGTTGCCAGCTGCGAAGGTCCACTTGCCTGGAGCTCTATGTTAGATCTACCCGTCCGTTGAACGTAGAACAAAGCAACCCAGAACCCGAGTTTGTTTGATGAGGACATGCCAGAGATGCATTGAATCCGCCTCCCCGCTCGGACCCCAGTATCCTGGTCAGCCTCGGCCAGCGTTCCGTGGAGCATGCGCAGCGCCTCCGAAGCCCTGGACCGCGCCTGAGGCCTGCGGACGGGAAGGGATATGGGTTTTTTAATTGGGTGCTAGCATCGGGGTGAGGGGGAAGGATTCAGTGTCTCAAGCTTGTTGTGTTTCGAACACGACGGGTAAGCTGTAGTGTCTGAAGCTAGGGTCAGAAACTCATTTTTGCAAGAAATTCATTTTGGGGCAACTTCTTATCAATACGGATGCACTATTCCAAACATCTCCACAGGAGTTTGGCTCGCTGAGGCGAATGCATGCCGGCAATTACAGTTCTCCGTCCCTTCCAGTAAGCCATCAATATAAAGGCGCCTAGTCGCTGTAGCTAAGCGACAGCTTCGGCATCCAAACACGCGCCCCTGACCCATAAATATCTGTACTGCCGCACTAGAATCGTCATGAAATACATACCGCATAACGCAAGGCTAAACTAAACAATGGGAAAATAATCCGCAATGGTTTAGTACATACCATAGACCTGGACAGGACAACCAGTCTTAGCCCCGCAATGCATCATAGTTCCGAACGAGGCACTCGTCCGGCTGAAGCGCCGCCACCAGGGCCTTGAGAAAACGCAATTACTGCTTGTGATTGTTCTTTTTGCTGCATTGTTGTGCTTACAGGTGTGACGGAAATTACTAGTGCGGACTTGATGTCCATATGAGAATTTTAAGTCTGCACATTAGGAGCATCTCATTCTCAGAAAATCCCAATACTCCCACTGCTGCTGTTCCTAAACAATCTCCTGCTCATCGTTCACGGTAGGTAAGGCATGGTGCCGCATTTCTTCGATCTTTGTGCTTAGGCTCTCTGCTGCCCTACCTCAATACGGGCTCGGGGTCACAGCCTGGACCCTTGTTTTGGAACAGGCCATCTGCAGTGTGCCTAGACCTGCAGTGGGAGGTCTTCAACAAAATTGTCATCAAGACAAGCCATGCGAATAGGGAAGCACACAAGGACTTGCTATGATAACTTGATACAGGCTCGACCCCACCCGAATTTACCCAACATACCCCAATTTACCCAAATATGATCCTTGACCCAACATGATCCTGGCATACCCTGGTATACCCTAAACCCAGAAGCACCGATTGTGCGTCGCAAGGTTCTTGTCTGCAGAGGGTTTGGGGTCCCAAGCAGCCAACAACTGTTGCTTTCAGTGTCATTAAAACGAACACACATCTGGCCCTCCAAGATCCAGGCACTTTGTCGTCCTGAACTGGGAAAGCGATGCGCAACTCCAGTTTGCGAATGAGGGGATGTAGCAGGCATGCAGCATGCATCACTCCCTGCTGAAACAGCACAGGTTCCGCTGTAAGGCAACTTGCAACGGAAGCCACCACGGTGCAAGCCATGAGTCATCATGTTCTGATGCTGCTGGGGCTTCACTCGCCTCAACAATGGTCTCTTCATCCGACCTCGCCACTTGCGGTGCATGAGTATCGGCTGCTGGCTCGTGTGCCTGGTCTGCTGCTCCCTGCGCTTG